GGGTTTTAGGGTTTTGGGTGTAGGGTTTAGGGTTTTGGGGTCTAGGGTTTTCGGGTTTAGGGTTTGAGGGTATTTAGGGTATTTAGGGTTTTGGGGTTTAGGGTTTTAGGGTTTGGGGTGTAGGGTTTTAGGGTTTTGGACTTTAGGGTGTAGGATTTTAGGGTTTAGGGCTTTGGGGTTCAGGGTTTTCCGGTTTAGGGTTTACGCTTTGCGCTTTACGGGTGTGTGTTTCAACGCAGGGTGCTTGCGTTTGGGTTTTCTTTCCTATAGGGAAATTACAGGCTTTGTGTCCGGATTGCTTTTGTGCGGAACTTCTGCAAGGTTGTTACGCGGAGGTTGCGGGGATTTACGTAAAACATTGCAGGGTTGATTCTAAGATGCATTTTTCAGCGCTGAGGGTTTGGGATTGTGCTATTGGGGTTTACATGGCATCCTCCGCATTGCTGTATTCTGTACCCTAAGCCGTAAGCCCTAAACTCTACCTTTCGTCCGGTTCAGGGCTTTGGGTTCCGGATCGGGCGTTAGCGATTCAGGCTCTTAGGGTTTAGGCTTCAAGGCAGCACCAGACAATTGCAAAGCGATAGCAAAACAATAGCAGCCCCAAGCCACAACCACCAAGCAACAGCCAAACAGCACACGACAAACACAACACAACCGGCGACACACACCACTACCACCTCCAGCACCGCCACCAGCAGCAGCAACACAGCCGCGCAATTCAATAGGAACAGCAACAGCAACATCGACGTCAATATCCTGCAATTGGAAGGCCAATCCACATTCACGGTGCTTAACGTAAATGCTCTGAGCCTTCAAACCTGTACTCTTGCCCCTCCAGCTCCAGTTTAACCCAGTTTGGAGCCAGGTTAGCAAACTCTATACTCTTGGCGCGACGCAATGCAGTCCTGCTTTGTCTCCAGGACTATGGCCTCAAGCCGGATGCTGCCAACTTGATGGGAAACAGCCGCGAGGAGTGCTGCGACGTCGCTTTGACTCCAGCATTGTACTTGATGTTCTTGCTGGCATGATCTTGGCCATTCCTTTCATTGGCATATATGACATTTACTACTAACATCGGTACTTTTATTGGAGACTTTTGGAAATATTGGTTTAGTACTGGACGACAATGGTAGGAACAGCAACTAGTAGTAGCATCCCTCGTCGTCTTGTATCTGTGCTGGTACCAGTTCTAGCAGCACGAAGATTTCGACGATGCCGACCACGGCGGAAACAGCGACGAAGCTTCGCACACGACGGCGATGCGAAGAGCAGCTGATGCTTCTTATGGGACTACAACTGCTTCTGCGGCTGCTGTCAGTTTCGCTTTTTTCAGCTACGGCCACAGCTACTTCTAGGCTACTATCATAGCAGCCTCTTCTTGTGATTGCAGGCATAGCTTTAAGCACTCATTCTTCCAACACGAGTCTCGTAGTACTTTCCTTTACAGCCTTGACCGAGTTGCTTCCTCTTCTGAGAGATCTTTTTCCCGTTCGTTGAAGTTCATGGCTGTGGGACTTCAGCACCCTCGCGTCTGTTGGCCCGAAGGGCAAACTTGGAGGTTCCTGGGTAGTTATAAGTGGGGTTATAAGTAGGGTAACTGTCATTATAACCCATATTAGGGGACATATAACTCCATTTATAACTACCCATGAACCCTAAACCCTAAACCCTATAGAACCCTTTAAAGGAACCCTTAAAGGAACCCCATAACTCCACTTAGAACTACCCATGAGCCTCCAAGAAGGCGTGTCCTTCTTTCTCCTGAGATTCTCCCCTCAAGCAGTTTTGAGTCGCAGGCTCGGGGTTTGAAGTCCTAAAACCTTTAGAAGCTCGTAGGTGGAAATCGACAGTCCGAAGGGATCTGCGAAATTTTGCTTCGGTGCGTTGGTTGTACGTACTTTGGCAATAGGGGGGAGTTCCATTGTGCTGGGGTTGCGGCGGGGGTTTCTGGACTTTGAGCTGTATGAGGTTTTTATCCCCTGAATCCTTCAGCATAGTATAGAAGCCTGAGTAATTCTACGACTATTCCGCAGGGCCCCATCATGTATCTATGCTAAGCATGCAAGTCCAAAGCTCCCAGTCAAATTCGCAACGCCCCTGTATTCACACAAAGGTGAAGAAGTGCGACACCTTCGAGTGCCCCAACAACACACAGTGGGAACCAAACCCGAAGGCCGTGGTAGGCCGGCTCGTTGCCTTCTTGTGATACAGATGGAGAAGAAGAAGATGACGGTGCTGAAGACGAAGAAGAACGAGTTTATGATGCGACGACGCTCATGATTAATGACTGTGAGAATATGACAATGATGATGCTAATGCTTATGCTGATGTTTATGCCGGTTTTGATGCTGACGACGACGATGGTGGTGATGGTGCTGATGCTTATGCTCATGAGAAGGATGGTGTTGATGGTGATGCTGGTCAGGATGGTAATGCTGATGCTGCCAGCTGCTGCCGCTGCTCCTGCTGATGATGTTGATGCTGCGCTTGGTAATGCTGATTGTGTTGATGATGCTGAAGAGGAAGGCAACGATGCAGCCATGATGCTGAAGGACATGGCAATGATGATGAGGATGTTGGTGACCAGTTGCTGATTGTTTGCAGCTCAGTCTCATATGAAATGTATGTGTTGTTACCATAAAGAGGAGATGATACCGAAATTGCAAACCCTAGGTTCCGCTGTTTTCACAGTCTATAGCTTCTGTATCGAGAAGAGCTAGAAGCTTTTGAAGCAAACCAGAACGGCTGTACCTTCAACTCCACATGCTGACGGTGTACGAAGCAAAGCAAAACCCGAAACACCCATGCAACGCTCCCCAAGCTGCTGGTACAGGCAGTACGATCAAGCAGTGCTGCAGCAAGAAGATGTGTGACACCTACACGTGCAGCAAAGACAGCCTTCAGAAGAAGCCAGTGAAGGCCCGGGCGACTGCTGGAGTGGGTTTATAAGGATTTAAATGGGGGTCTTACAAGGGTTTATGTACGGGTTGATATAAGGTTATAAAAGGCTCTATAAGGTTTTACAAGGGGTGTATGTACATATATATATATATATATATAGGGGTAGACGCGGTCCTGCAGATAAGACCCGCTGATCTCCGGTTGCAGGCGGTGCGGGATTTAGGGTTTCCGGAGTCCTGTAGACCCACCTCATTACTGTAGAAGCTTCAACAACGACCAATAATAGTTTGGGGGGCTGCTTTTTTAATATATTTGTAGTGGAATATACCCCAAAACCCTATTTTGATTATTAAGGCCTCTATAGTCGAGTATCCCATAATGCCCCGTATTTTAACCCTTATAAAAGGTCACAGGCAAACAAAAAACCTGAAGACTTAACGCATGCGAGATGTTTTTCGCTCGGGTTTTGGGCACATTGTGTTCGGAACTCGGTGGCTAAGCTGACAACCAGAGAATTAGGAAAACAGTGACGAAATGCACTAAAACCCATGTTTTGTGTGCATACGATATTATTTCGCCTAAAAATCTGGAAATCAGAACAGCAGGACGAAACGTGAAATGTCCAGCATAGCCTGGAGGAAACCTTGCGTAAGCGGCAGTTGGTGCCGCCAGACGAACGCAAACATGTAGCTAAACGAATCAGGATTGATCTCTTTGCGACGCCTGGCATGGAGAGTCCCCGGAAGAAAGTGCTGTCTGCCAGCACCGGTCAATGCTCTGAGTTCCAGTCATGTATGTTGCCGGCCTTTTGTTCGCCGGCCGCTTGACAGCAACTTTTCTGGAGAGCTCATGTTGCGAGTGGCTGACATGATCACTGGCGACGGCACGCGTTCCCATATCCGAGACCAAACGAGGCCAAGCTTGAGCACCATCTGATTGAAGCAAAGATTGCCTCCCCCGTTCGGTGCTGATAGGTTTGTCTTGCTAACACCTTCCGGATGGTGTGCGCATCGCCCTCCAACTGTCCGAACAGCTGCTGCGTTTGAGCACAAAAGTTCCGTCCGGCTGCAGCTTCCTGAGACACGAGTGCACTGTAAATGTGCTGGACTTGTTTTTTCCCCAATTTCAGGTGTGATATTGCATCGCTGACTTTGGGGCTCTTCACTCGGTTGGAGCGCGCGTAGAAGACCAGCACCAGTCCGGAAGCTTGATGCACTGCCAGCTTGGACGAAGCCGGTCGGAACTCTTCGGTCTCGTTGGAGTTCTTGGCTTTAGGCGCCTCGTCTGAAGACAGCGAGAGCTCACACAGTTGAGGATCTGTTCCGGACGCCGAAGAAGCAGAGAGCAGATCGGTTTCTTCATCCGCTGGCAGCAGACGAATGCGAGCATAGTCTGTGGGATATTTGCAATTTCGAGGTAAGGGATCCAACTCTGCCAAGCCGAAACCAGCCCATGCTTGTGCAGCTGCCTCGCACCTGTGAGCATCTATGCCGTTCACTATTATGTCATTATATATTCGTGAGCATCATCATGAGCATTAGAGTGATGATGATAATCATGTATTCGTGAGAATCATAATTATAATTACCCTATCAGTGATCAGTAGTAGAATTATGAATGGCATCCTCATTACCAGTCGCTACTAAGCATCAAGGTGAGTATGATTCTCCTGATAGCATTACCTGTTTTTGTCTTGACCATTATAAACATATCGTTCTCATGATATCATTACTTGTTATCGTGGCAACACCACGACGGTCACCATCCCGATGTTTATCATCATCATCATGTTCATGATCATCACCATGATCGTCATCATCATCATCACCTGGAGCAGCATGGCCACGAGATGCACCTGGGCAAGCCACGATTTTGAGGTGCCTATTTCCTCATAGGAGCCCTATTCTAGCTGTTAGAGCGCCTGTTTGAAGATGCTTCTGTCAGGGTCTCCAGGGCAGCACTGACGAGGAGTGCTGCGAACAGAAGTTCTGCACTGCTTGGACCTGCAGTGACAAGACGAAGTGGGTGGCTTGGCATTTGAGCCGATACATACTACATATCTTGTGTGAATGTTATGATAATATAACACAAACAGTTGGTATACAAGTTAATATGATTAAGTCGTAGTCTAATTATTAAGGCTTTTCAGGGCTTCGCCATAAACCCTAACCCTACAGAAAGACCGAACTACCTCCAAAGCACCCCACTGTTTAAAGGGTTCATGGGCCTTGCAGGATATGTGGCTCAGGGGTTCAGAGGCTTACTTGACTCATGGTGCTTAGAGCAGGTTTAGGGCTTTGGGGCGTTGGGCGTTGGGCTTGGGGGGTTTTGGGCCGCGGGCCAGGGTGTTTAGTTCTTAGGGTCTTTCACAACTTCTTGCTTCTTCAAAAACTGAAGCCCGAAGTGACCTGAATGTAAGCCTGCACCCGCGATCCCAACCTGCCAAAACCTTTCTGGTACTGAAAACTTAAGGCTCCCCCAAAGCCTGAGACGTTACAGATCTTTCATAGAAGCCCTTAAAGGAGCCCCAAGCCTTACAACCCTGCAAAATTCAATATTCAGTCTAAAAACTGAAGCACCCTAAACCAAACTCTGAAGGACCTTAAAACCCTAAACCCTGAAGTACCTTAAAGCCTAAACCTTAAAGCCTCAAGGACCCTAAACCCAAACCCTTAACTTGAACTGAACGGAAAAGGGCCTTTCACAGAATTAAAACCTGAAAGACCCAAAACCCTAAACCCAAAAGGTCCACAAATCGGCCCAGCACGGCAAGACAAACCTCGACCGCCGTGGCTTCTCCGATGAGGAATGCTGCGACGAGAAGCCACTGATCTGACGGCTGAACCCGCAACCGAAAACGGTTTAGGGTTCAGGGTTTAGGGTTGTACTTAACCCCAAAAGCCGCAAACCATAAACCTTAAACCATAAAAGCTGTGGGGTTTGGGGTTCAGGGTTTGGGCTTGGACTTCGCTGGAAGGGTTTTGGGTTAAGTTTAGAGCTTGAGTTTACTTTCAGGGTCAGAAGAAGTACTAGTAAGAGTGTCTCCTTAAAAACTCCTCCTATACTGGGCGTGGAGACTTTCGTCCCCAAGCCTTCCCTTGAAGGGTTTAGGGTTTGGGGTTTCGCCAGAAATAGGCTTTTGTTTGAGACTTCGTCCTGAGCATTTTGTTTTTCAGCTTTTTGGCGCACTTGGTAGGGCCCTTAAGCGTGTCATCGTAGACTTCGCGTGCAGCTCTGAGTGTCCTTGCCATGTAAGCCCTCAGCCGTAAAGTGCATGCTCGTGCGGGCATTTCATCCTGATTCCCGGACTTGTATTAGCTCGGCCTTTGCACTAAACTAAACCGAAACCGCAACCCCTAAAGCGCCGAGACCCTATATCCCTGTACAGCTCCGGATTTCGTCGGAACAAGGTATTGCTTGGCGGAGATCTGCGACCCTGCCACCCAGTGGAAAGGAAAAGAAGGCAAGGTGTGCGGTTTTCAGGGAGGAATGAATGTGGAGGGTCTGACCATGTCATCACAGGGTTTTGTGGGTTGAGAACGGCTTGGGCTTCACAGGGTTTTGAGCCCCTTCTCGTCCTGAGACCCGGAAACCCCACCTGCCACTCAACCCCAACGTACCGGATCACGAATGCATGCTGGTTGTTTATTAAGAAGCATACACATGTAAAGGCCGGGGTGTGCGTGGCTTCTTCCGGCTTGAACCTTTGCCTAGGATCACATGTTCGCTGACTTTGTTTATTTCCAGAGCACTAGATCATAGATTTCCGAAGTTGACGCGTCAGAGCTTGGGTTCAGTAATGGAAACATGGTATAATTCCTGACTCTAAGAGAATGATGTCTACAAACACGACAATGGTGCAACAGGGGTATGTTAATGAGACAATATGCAAAATAATCATATAGTAAGACACCGCTGGCACATAATAGCATATAGTGAGACAGAAAAGATTGGTAGTAATTTCCAGCATCAACGATTACAGATATTGTCACATAATGTCATGCAGTAGTATGTAATGTCAAGCAGACGTACCGCAGCATGTGTCATGCGTACCCCGAGGCCCCATAGTAGTTCCTTTTACGATGGGGCCTATGGGTAGTCGTAAGTTTGGGGAGCCGAGAGACCGATACATCCGAACGTAGCTGTCAGGCCTGGACAAGATCCAGGGCAGCACCCATGAGCAGTGCTGTGAGAAGATCTTCTGCCACTGCCTTACACTTCAGGGTTTGGGGGTTTAGGGTTTAGGGTTCCAGTTGTCGCTGTGAAAGTGTGGTTGTTTGTTCTGAGTTTGGGAAGCGTTTCGACGGATGACAAGATGTTCTCTATGCAAAAATGGCTTTCCACCACACTAGGAAACGATGAGGATTATTAAATACCGGCGCGAAACCCATAGGGTAGCCTCCAGCACTCTAAAGCCTGAGCCCTCCGCTCCGACAACCTGTGACCTCTACAAAACCCCCTTGTTAAAAATGAACACCAGGACCATTTGTGTTTTCGTTCCACTTTGGCCTAAAGCTCTGCATTCTAAACCACCAAACCGTTAAACCCACAACAAGTAGTTGTGAAGGTGTGAAGCGTAGCACTTTCTCGTCGTCAGCTTGCAAGTATAAAGCTTACGAGCTTGAAACCCTAAACCCTAAACTCCAAGCTGCACTTAAAATTTAAAAAGAAACCTAAACCCTAAACCGTATTCAGGAGTTTCGATTTGTTCCCCAAGTTTTGCTCTTTGACACCCGGTTTTTCAGAAGTCCAGGAGGATTCCGAGCTCCAGGGACTTCGAGTAAAAAGAGGAGCCTTTCAAAGCTTAATAGAGTTTAGGGTTTAGGGTTAATGGTTTAGGGTTTAGGGTTTAAGGTTTAGGGTTTAGGCTTTACGGTTTCTTGCAGATCTTAACAGTGTGTGGGGGTGCAGTACATTCTATTTTAGAAGTATGTATAATGAGCCGTAAAAGTAGCAGCAGTGCGAGCCCCGATATGCACCAAAAGGAACTCCAGGGTGGGGGTAGGTGTTACTCAATGCCTCAACCTTTGAGGCGACGACTTCGTGTGTGACACTGATGTCAACGGCACTGGTGTCGGCACACAGTGGTGTCTCAGTCAGCAAGACCCTAAACCCTCAACCCCAAACCCTGAACCCCAAACCCTAAACCCTAAACCCTAAAGCACGGAGCCCTCGGCCCTAAACCCCTTACTCAGCCCAAGTTCCTTATCCCTTGAACGATGAAGATGTAGGCAGGGTTGTAAGCGTAAGAACCCGTGGCGTTGAGCCAAAGGTCGTACAGGGCGTGTTGTTGCCCAAGTGGCATATGGTCGAAGTGATTTGCGGCATGTATCTACGTGATTTTCAGATCCAATGCGAAGGCTTGCAAAGGTTTGGGTTGGAATGAGGGATTTGTGTACTTTCGTCCAGGTTCGCATTTTGATGGCCCTTATCACTTGCTTCTGGGTGTTGTAAACTGCGGTGGCAGCGAGCACCTGGGTCCTCGCGTGTACCGCATGATCAACTTCCTGTCGCAGCACCAGCTGGCGGCTGACGGATTGCATCTCCTTTGGCCTCAGGCGTCGCTGCAACCGTATACAACGTATGTGGGCAGCACGGCAAATGTGTGGCTAAAGGCCAAAGGGTTTAAGTGGGGTTGAGGGTTGTCCAAAACCCTCACCAACAGCGTGGTTGTCGCGCGCAGCGAGGACAGACATCGTCACGCTGGCCCAAAACGGCCCTAAACCTACTCCCAGCCCCGGTTCTTAGCAGAGCATATGCTTGTGGAATGGACAAACAGGAGCATCCGGTTGAGGTTGAGGATTAATTTGTAAGTTAGGGTTCAAGCTTTATGCTCGTGCTCGAGTCCTTAGAATAGAACGGGGTTTGTTTTGGTATCGGTAGGGTTTAGGGTTCTTTGCTATGGGTTGAGGGCGGTAAGGATTTCAGTTTAAGTATTTTGTTCAGGTCTGCGAATTTCCCACACGTTCGTGGACAACAGCGAGTTTCTCAACTCTTGAATCTCGAAGTTTCAAGCCGCTCAACCACGTCCTCCAATACAGGGGCATCGTTGAGTTCAATGGGGTCATCCTAGTATACTTACACAGGGACTATCAGGGGCGACCACGACTAAGTATTCCGAACCCTATATGGGGGTTTCCCAAAATAGGGGACCCTAATATGGTACCCTAAATAGTAGGATCCCGATTATAAGGACCCCAAAATAAGGTACCCCCTATTTGCGGGAACCCCCATATTGGACCCATCTGCATGCCAAAGTCCAGAATCCTGAGACTGCTACATGCTGCCTTGAGAGTTGCACAGAGTGGGGGTTTAGGGTTTAGGGTTTAGGGTTTAGGGTGTGGGCTTGAATCATTGGCAATAGCCTACCCTTCTGGTCCCTTTCGAACTATGCTATGATATACACCAAGACCCTACTCGAATCAGTTTTATTACAACTCGGAGTAGATTCCCGCATATAGTCCCCGTATAAGTATACACTAATACACCCCAAAGCCATTTTCCAATAATTGCTTCTCCTATATTAATATCAATTCTCAAACAGCCCCGGAAAGCCCGAGGAAGCCTTATTCAAACCCTTAAAATCCCTAAAGTAGTCCCGATGTTAGAATTAGTATTAGTATTGGTTTTAGTATTCTTAGTCAAACCCTAAACCCTAAACCCTAAACCCTAATGGTTAATATTAGCGGAGCCCTTCGGTCCCATCCCAGGTACAAGCGCGTGGACACGAACACCTACAAGTGGCAGGGAAGCACCAACGAGGAGCGCTTCAGAGTGTGGCTGTAGGATTCAGGGTTCAGTGTTTAGGGTTTAGGATTTAGGGTTGGTAATACGGGGGCCTACACAATTACCCATGCTAGTTTGGGGCTTCCTTATTACAAGCATAGTCTAGCCGTTTTACCCCAAAACCATATTCTAAGTATTAGGGCCCCCTCTTTTGCCGAAAGCCCTCGTCCTATCTTCTGACAATAAACCCTAAACCCCAAACCCTGAACCCTAAACCCTATTCTGAGCGCTAGGATGCCGAACCCTAAAGCTACGAAAATCTCGCAAATAAATTCTGCCCCCTGTGCCCTACCCATAGGCCCCATAGTAGTTCCTTTTTGGAATAATTTAAATAGGAACCCCCAAAAAGGAACTACTATGGGGCCTATGGGTAAACCCTACAAGCCCGAAGCCCAAACCCCAGGTCAACCTAAACACCCTAAAAGCCCCAAAGCCCAAACCCAGCAAACACGAAACACCCCAAAGCCCACCGTTTAAGGTCCCAGACTACGGTTTTGGGGTCTATAGGGCTTAGACTACAGGTTTGAACCATGGATGCCATGCACTTCAGGGTTTGCGGGCTGGGTCGTAGGGGCTTTAGGTGCAAGGTACCAGCTGAGTAGGTCACCGTTAAGCCTTTGGGGCCTAGGTGGCCGTAACCAACCCCTAAACCCTAAAACCTATAAGCCCCACCATACCCTAAACCCTAAACCCTAAACCCTAAAACCTATAAGCCCCACCATAGCAACAAAAAAGTCGACCGTTTTGCTGTACCAGGGAACTCAGAATCTGCGGCTTGATTTGCAGGGCTTAGGGAGCTTTACCCTGAACTAAACCCTATAGAACCTAAACTCTAGACCGGGCTGGAAAAGTCCGCTACCGTCGGTAAAAATCTTAAACCGTACCAGGGTAGGGTACCCGACGGTTCAGGGTTTGATGCTCGTGGTCCAGGGCTTATAGAGGTCTGGTCGGGGCTCTGGTTGCTGTGTGCTCCGCATTTCAGGATCTGGTGTAGGGAATTGCAAGGATCTACTTGGAGGTTCATGGGTAGTTATATGTGGGGTTATAAGTAGGGTAACTATGATTATAACCCATATTAAGGGACTTATAACCCCCACTTATAACCGCCCATGAGCTTCAAATTAGGATTACGTTTTAGGGGTTCAACGTCTAGACCGTGTAGGTTCAAGGTTCAGGTGGCGGGTTCACTTACAAACTGTACTGTTTCAAGCTTCTTTTTTGACGGTCTTGCATGCTGGCGGGGCCTTATCGAGGCGAGGACGTGCCGCATGAGATCCCGTCGAAAGGGCCGACCCCTAAACCCTAAACCCAAAACCCTAAAACCCGTATGTTTGTCTGAGATTAGGGCATGGAGACGGCTTAGAACAGTGGAAGTGTGAGAAGCCCATCCAGCTTGCAGTTGCACGGGATTTCCGCACTGCAATGACGGACCCCCACGAAGTTTGGCCGGATTTTTCGGTGGTCAAGGGAATTCGTTTATTAGGCATCTGAGTTTCGGGGCTTAAGACTTAAAAACTAGGGTCCTAAGGGTTTTGACGCCCTGACCCGCACATCAGCCTGCTTGAAGGAGTGCTGCATGCCCATCTACTGCAGCCAGTACACCACCAGCCATCCTACCCGCTGGGTGAGGACGGCTGCTTCATGCGCTAGGACCATATCATAGGGGCCCTAAGCCCTAAACCTTAAAACCTTAGGGATTTCAGGATACCCAACAGTAATTTTTTGTATGAACTCACCCTAAACCCGAAACCTTAGTGCATTTTAGGATAACCAATAGCAAAGTGTTATATGAAAACCCTAAACCCTAAACCCTAAACCCCTAAACCCCTAAACCCCTAAACCCTAAACCCTAAACCCTAAACCCTAAACCCATTCTCTTGCGAAGTCTTCCGAGGCCCCAAAGTTCAGGCTTTGACAGCTTAAGAACGGACCTTTGTCTCGAGGCACCGGTTCAAAGGCCTTAATATAGGGACCGCAGTAGTTACCTACATAATGTTGGGGGTTGGTTTAGGGTTTAGGGTTTAGGGTTTAGGGTTTAGGGTTTAGGGTATAGGGTTTCTTAATATAGGGGCCTCAATAGTTACCTACACTATGTTGGGGGTTCCTTATTGTAATTTTGCTATAAAGGACGCCAAAATCCTGTTCTATTTATGGAGGCACCTATGTTGAATCCTAAAGAACAGATCCTGAACCCAGCGTAGCGAGTCTCATTTGAGGGTTTAGGGGTTAGGCTGCAAAGCTGCCCTAAACCCTAAACCCTAAACCCTAAACCCTAAACCCTAAACCGCCAAGAAGCCTAAGAAGCCTCGCTTTGAGAAGTACCGGGCACTGAAGCGGGTGTAGCTTTAGGGTCTCTAGCGCGGAAGCAGTGCCAATGAGATCCACGATCTACAACTAAAGCCCGAAATCTTATGTCCCGAAAATCTTGAAGCTAAGCTCTCAAGCCCTAAGCCCCAACCCTAAACCCTAATTCCTAAACCCTAAACCCTAAACCCCAAAACCCTAAACCCTAAACCCCAAACCCCACCTCCTAAATTCCCAAGCGGAGATCCAAAAAAAGCCCGAAACCCTGATGCCAACTACTTGGAGGTTCATGGGTAGTTATAAGTGGAGTTATGGGGGTTCCTTTAAGGGTTCCTTTAAAGGGTTCTATAGGGTTTAGGGTTTAGGGTTCATGGGTAGTTATAAGTGGAGTTATAAGTCCCCTAATCTGGGTTATAACTATAGTTTCCCTACTTATAACCTCACTTATAACTACCCATGAACCTCCAAGTAAGCCCGGTCAGAATTGAGAGTTTAGATTGAAGCTCCTAAGCGTGACCCCCAAATGACAAATCAGCACTTCTAGGATTCTACGGATCCTTCAAGGAATCCTTAGACGAATCCACAAGTGAGCCCTGCTCCCAATTGTCTTAGAGGGATCCTTCCGGCGTTCCTAAAGGAATCCTTAGGGGAGCCCAGGAATTCAAGAGGAATCCTCAATGGAACTTTACAGGGACCCTTAAAGGAATCCAAAAAGGAACCCTGAAAAGAATCCTTATAGGAATCCTCCAAGGAACCCAGGTTTAGGAGTTTGAAGTCATTGTCAATGACGCTCCAAGCAAAGGGCCTAAGGAGTGGAGTCTGGTGTTTATCATTTTTTCCGAGTTGATAGTTTACAACTTCAGCAGTTGAAGCGTCAAGGACTTGGAGAGCATTTTTGTATTGTCTGTTCTAAAGACTGGCAAGGTCACTCACATAGAAGCCTGAATACTTACAAGCTTTACTGTTAGGGTTCCTTGTTACAAGTATACTATACAGCAGCCCAAAACCCTATTCTAATTATGAAGGCCCCTACACAGAAGCCTGACAAGGTTGCAATATTCCTTCGTGTATTCATCGGATCATAGACCCCGAAGCTATATTCTAAATATCCAGTCCCCAATGTTAGTTTCCTATAGCACCCTCATAGAGTCCTTGATTGAGCCCTCATAGTACGCTTTAAAGGAGCCTGTGCGGGTTTCGCTTTGAGCCTCGAAGCTTTACGGCTGAGGATATAAATCCTTTGCCCATAATATGGAATACACCATAATTCCCATTGTCTAGGGTCCTTAAGGTAATGTAGGACGTATTTCATCAACAGTAATGTGCGTGCTCAAGGATGTACTTGGAGGTTCATGGGTAGTGATAAGTGGAGTTGTAGGTCCCCTGTTAAGGGTTATATTTATAGCTACCCTACTTATAACCCCCCGCTTATAACTACCCATGAACCTCCAAGTACAAAAGGCTTCAGGATTTGGGGTTTAGGATCCGCAATAAACCTGAAGAAGCTAAGCCACAGAGGGTTGTGCACTTCGTAGGAGTTCAGGATATCAGCTTGGAGCCGTTCGGAGGAGCTCACTGCAAGTTGTAGGCCCAATAACCTCTATTCTCCACTGTAGCTCCTCGAAATGTAGGATCCTACAAGGTAACTTGAAAGAGCAGCTAAACTGGAGACTATAGGTAGCTTCTTGGTAGCAAGCCCCAGGGGTTTTTTCTTGTGTCTGCAAGGTACGACACCGCCAAATTCTGTGGCGGCCTATGGAACGAGACGGAGCCCCGAAGCCCTGAACCCAAAGCCCTATAAACTCTCACCCCAAAGCCCGAAACCGGAAACAGGGCTTACAGTTTCAGGGGCTTTTCGGGTCCAGGGACTGGGGCTGGGGGGTTTTAGGATTTAGGATTTAGGGGTTTAGTAGGGTTTTGTAAGATCTGAGGTTTACTATATGCATGCCTTCAGTATGCATGTACATCCTTTCTGTAGGTAATATGTATATACTGTATGTGCCCATGATATAAATAAATAAATATATATATATATATACATATATATATATATATCTATACATACACACACATAATATCTAAAAGCAACTCCTCGCGTAGTTGATGGATTGGGCGTTGTTTCTTTGATTACTGGCCTCAGCCCTCTAAACCACTAGTAACTTAGTGGTGTCAGCGGTTTGCCCACCTTTCTTGCAATGAAGAACACATCCCCAAACTAAAAGCCCTAAACTCCTAAACCCGAAGCCCTATGCCCTAAACCCTAAGCCCTAAACCCTGAACCCCTCAACCCTAAGCACTAAACCCTAAGCCAAAGATCTTAAAGCGCTTAAGCGATCGACCCAAAAGCAAACTCCGTCCTGAGACCCGGAAGTCCAACACCTCAAGGTTTTAGGGCTTAGGGGCTTCGGGTTTAGTTTTAGGGGTTTAGGGTTTAGGGTTTAGGGTTTAAGGGTTTAGGGTTCAGGGTTAGGGGTTTAGGGGTTTACGGGTTTTAAGGGTTTAGCATGTAGGGATATAGGTTGAGGAGTTTAGGGTATAGGGATGCCCTAGCCTCCAGTTTTAGAGCTTGGCGCTTAGACGCCCAGAGCCTCACATCATGAACTCTAACAAAGCCGGGTGGCAGCTAAACCACAAAAAAGGAACTGCACTGGAGTCTATGCGTGTAGCCACGGTTTAGGGCTACTTGGATGTTCATGGGTAGTTATAAGTGGAGTTATAAGTCCCCTAATATGGGTTATAAGTACAGTTACCCTACTTATAACCCCACGTATAACTACCCATGAACCTCCAAGTAAGGGCTTAGGGGCTACTGTCCGGTTAGCATGTTGGGGTTTGTACCTTACTCTGCTTGGAATAGTGTGCCATATTCTCAGCATATCGGCGCTTAGGGCTCGAACTTCTCAACGGTTGTGTGGGTTGTTTCTGGGTCCATTAGGAGGGACCCTTAATAGAGACCCTTGTAGGTTATTGGGGTTAATATGGAGACTACCTGGCTATATAAGGGGTATATAAGGACTATACAACGGTCCCTCCTAAAGTCCTTAGATTGTTCTTTTTTTGGGATTGGGGAGTTCATGGTTTTTAAGGTTTCGGTGCGGCTGGTCTCAGCTTTTTGGTAATTGTGCAGGAAACCACCGAAAAAATCAGAGTGTATACTGTATATCCACATGGACCCTTATATCCCATATGCCCCTATAGAACGCTTACCGAACCCACCGTATAGAACCCTTACCAAAAACCCCAAAGGCTAATCCCAAAGCCCTAAAGCCTCAAAGCCTGAAGCGTAACCTTACTCGTTGCTATGTTTGCTTGCCTGGCTAGTGCTGTGACCGTAGTCTCACCGACCGACAGGAGCGAGTAAAAGCTCTAGAAGCACTGGGCCTGCTGGACACCCCGCAGGACAGGGCTTTGGTGCTTTCAGGGTATAGAGTACAGGGTTTAGGGCTGAGACCAAGAGTGTAGGGTGTAGTGTTTCCCAGTTTAGGATTTAGGGTTGAGGGGCTTAGGATTTCGAACGGCCTGGGCATCCATGCTAGCATGACTTCTGTGAACAACTGAAACAGCGGAAAGCGTCGCATCAACATCCTCAAACACAAACAGCGACCCAATCAATCAGTACCAACAATGTGTTGCATAGCAGCAGCAGCAGCAGCAGCAGCAGCAGCAGCAGCAGCAGCAGCAGCAGCAGCAGCAGCAGCAGCAGCAGCAGCAGCAACAACAAGAACAGCAATGACAGCATCAAGGGTAGCAGCAGCAGCAGAAGCAGCAGCAGCGCTCACGACAACAGGAGCAGTATAGTACCTGTGGCAGACACTATCAGTAGGAGCGAAATACCAGCTTTGGCAGCAGCAGCGACACGAAAACCTGACGAAACACAACTCCCGTTGTTGGGCTGCACGGTGCATAAGCATTGGTATGGATACCGAGCCTGACGGTGTATACCAGGGCTGGGCTCAATGTGCAACTGGGGTTCGAGTGGATCAACGCAAGGTTTACGGTTTGGGGCTTCTCATTCAGGGTTTGCGAGTTTCGCTGGCGTAAGTGTCTAGATGACCGGTCGCGTGCATCATAGAACGCTGCTGATGAAAAACACAGCAGCACAGCAGCGCAGCAACACATGTGTAGGATTCGGATTCGGATTCATAGTAAGGCCCCCCATCTCCCATTTCCTCTAATTCCTCAAGTTGCAACCCTACTAGGCTAAACCCTAAACCTGAAAGCTCAAGCCCTAAGCCCGAAACCCTGAAGCTTACAGCAGTACAGCCGAGTTAAATCATGGAGTTTTTCGGGAAGCCTCCTTGAGCCCCTTAATAGAGCCCTTCAAG